AGAAAATCAAAATATGACTGAAACATTTCAGCAACAGCGATACCCGACAAAGTGCCTAGTCTAGAAGTCCTATATCTGTCACTGTAAATGACCGAAATGCGGTAAAACCTAGGATAAGCGCGCCAAACCTAAGATTTACCAAAAGCAAGTGGTAAAAGCTCGAAAACTTCTCAATTTTGCTTCCATTTTGGACTTTTACCGAACCCAAACAGTAAATCTTAGGATTTACCACACCGCATTGGTAAAAGTACGAATTATTTTTCTTATAGCAACAATATCGATAAATTAAGGATGTCGATATACAAAGACTGTTTTTGTTTACTAGGCATTGAAATTTTGACGATTATCGTTTCACGATATCGATTTTTGCAACGTATCAGTCTTATATTTGTTACTCTAAATGTCCGAAATGCGGTAAAACCTAGGATAAGCGCGCTAAACCTACGATTTACCAAAAACACTAACTAATTAGGTTCGCTTGGTTATTTGGAGGGTGTTAATGCATTGGTTAGGTGGTTATTTGGTGGGGTTGGTTGGTTTTTACTACCACTTGCTTATTCGTACTTTTACCAATGCGGTGTGGTAAATCCTAAGATATACTGTTTGGGTCCGGTAAAAGTCCGAAATGGAAGCAAAATAAATAGTTTTCGGGCTTTTACCACATGCTTTTGGTAAATCCTAGGTTTAGCGCGCTTACCCTAGGTTTTACCGCACTTCAGACATTTCCAGTAACATATCCAAACTTTACTGGGAGGTAGTAAGAATTTTCTTTAAATTTTATAAAAATGTAGATTCCCATAGTCGAGAACAGTAAAAATATACATTGTATACAGGGTTGTTCACCACATACGACACGGAGTATTGTAGCTAAACGATGAGATTTTTACAAATTGAAAGTTTGGGGTTCGTTGAAGGACTATTAGAGCTACAATTTAAAAATATTTTTACAATATACAGAGTGTCCCAAATAAATAAAAAATTTCAAAGTTGTATTTTTTTAAATGGAACACCCTGTATATTATTACATTTTTAGTTTCTACGATTAAAATAAAGGTAAATTTGATTAAGGTTTATTATACTTAAAACTTACCGTTTTTGAAATATTTTCAATTTTGTGAAATTGCAGTAAAAATTTTAAAGCTTCATTTCTCCAAGGGTATCAATGTTTTTAATACTAAATATTTAATAATTGAAGGCTATTTCAAGACTTTCTTATTATATAAATATAGTGAAGTAACGTATAAAAGTACATACAATCTTTTACATGACAATGGGACGGGATGCTTGAAATGAGCTTGCTTTCTATTTCAATACATCATAGAGTGGAACGACTCGTTAACATTAATACGAAAATTTCGCTGTAAATCAGATAATTTGATTGACCTTAAAACGATTTACCGCATATTACCCGAGGTAAGTAATCTTGTCGGATGTCTAAGACAAATATTGCATGGTTTATTATTCACAGAATGATATTTGCGTGTTTTGTTTTTACATTTTCCAGTTATCCAATTTTAAATTATCATGCTCTTAAGACGCTTAAGATATTTTTTTAGGAAAACAAGTATGTAAAAAATAATATTGTGTAAAGACTCAATTCTAATCAAATTCAATATTACTGAATTTTATTAGATATACCTAGACTACTTCAATGTCAAAACCTTAAAAATTAATAGGCACCTACGGTGTGACCAATTAAGAATAGACGCCGGCTGTATCTCTTCTTCTTCTTCTTATAGTACCATCTTCTAATGAAGGTTGGCAACAATTGCGGCGAAACACTGTCTGTCCTGTGCAGCTCGGAACAGTTCGTGTAAGTAAAAGTCCAGTCCAGTCTCGTAAGTTTTTCAACCAAGAGTGCTTGTGTCTCCCAAGTCCTCTTCTGCCTTCTGCTTTTCCTTCTATAATCAACTTCAGAAGCTTTGCTCTACTATTACGCATGACATGGCTCAGGTATGCTGTCTTTTGTTTTTTTATATTTGCAAGTAACTCCCTTTCCTTGTTAAGCCTCCCAAGAACCTCTTCATTGCGTACATGATCATTGATTTTCACGAGTCTTCTGTAGATCCACATTTCAAAAGCTTCCAACCGTATCATGGTGTTCATTTTAATCGTCCATGTCTCACAGCCGTATAAGAGAATTGAGTATACAAAACAACGGACAAAACGCAGACGTATGTTGATGTTGAGTGACCGGTTACATGATAGGTTTCTCATTTTGTTAAACATTGATCTAGCCTGTTCTATACGCTATGTAACTTCTAAGTCGGGGTCAAGGTCCGATGTTAGCCAGGATCCCAGGTATTTGAGCTTATTTACCGTGTCTACGCATTGTCCGTATACTCGTATGTTGGGTGGTGGAATATTTTTCCTACTAACGATCATTATCTTGGTTTTTGTCGTGTTTATTTTAAGGCCCAATGGATCTCCTTCCCGAACTATGTCGTCTAGAAGTTCTTGAAGAGCCTCAGGGCCCTCAGGGTTGTCAGCGATAATCGCAGTGCCGGCTGTAGCTCAGAAACTACTTATTGTATAAATTTGGGAAAACAATTCTGATAAATATATCGGCCAAGAGAACTCGGTGAAAATTATTTTTAAGTTTTTTTAGAAATTTATTTTTAAGTATCTGCTAGGGGGTGATGGCTATTTGTGATGGCCAATCAGAAAAAGGAATATTTCTCAAAAATATGCATGTTTTAAATATTACCATTGCAATCAATGGACTGGTATAACGTATTTTGCTCTATCTCATAAAATGGAATGGGGCGGAAAAGTTAAAATTGCTTTTATTAAAGTAAGGAGAACTCGGTGGATTGGGTTAACGGATTTAAATAAACTAGGGATCCTTTAAAAGGGGTTTTCTTCCTTAATAGTGTTCCGACTATAATATCGCAATTGGAGTGTGTCCATTATCGGATGTTCCGATTACCTGCAATGTGTGTTTTTATTAAAGAGGTAGCACTGTAGAGAACTACTGCAGGTTACCTATCAACTTGAGGCTTTTCCGCTAATCCGTTTTTAAATTATTTGCAAAGTTAGGTCTTTAAAAAAGTAACACGTACAAGGTGTTCCACTTTGGTTGAAATCATAGGGTTAGGTATGTTATTAGTAAAGATAGGAGGATGCGGTTGGCACAAACCTGTTCCACTTTTTTGTCAAACCGAAAATGCTGTCAACAAAATTTTCATAGCTCTCTTCGTTTCAGAGCTGCATGCCCTTTTTGAAAATTTTGCAATTTGGGACACCCCCCGTATTTTCGCGATTGTGAAAGATATCGAGAAGATGGAAACTGATTATTGTAGAACTTTTTACGTAGAATACAGTGGCGTAGTCTGTTTTTATACAAAAAATATTTTTGAAAATATGAACTAGAGTTATGTTTGTTCAGTCAGTTTTATGTCCTGGTCCCAAATATATTATAAGAATATATTGATCGTAACGCATTTACGCAATGAGTGGAAAGTGAAGCCAAAGAAAAGAAATAGGAATATCAATCTTGCATAATAATCAATCTATCATTGTCGTACAACAGGATTTTCGTGCGCACGAACCAAATAAAACGATCTGAAGTCACCTGCCCGCGCACTATTTTGAACTCTAAATATTAATAACGTATAATATAATTGTTTTTGATGGGTAATTGCATTACTTCAACCTGTTATTTTAGATATTCATCATATCTATCCGTTTCTTATTTTTATTTAAATATGTCTGATCCCATGCATAACCCGGTATAACTGAATTACGTAGATTTGAAAAGAAATATCTACGCCGTAATAAATGTGCAATACAAGCTATCCCAGTATTCCGTGAACATAGAAACTACCAAAAAACATAGAAATACTAAGTATTTTAAAAGCACGAGGAAGGTGAAAACTACTCCACCCCTACATTAATTTTAGTAGAAAGATTTTCCAACTCCACAGACAATTTTTTTTTCGTAAAACGGTCTCTCTAGTACCGTATGATCGAATAAAAACGGCGTCAGCGATGGCTATGAGATGAAGATCTCTGTCATTTTATATGGGAAATGTCATCAACCGTCATTTCCCAGCCAACTTGACGCCGTTTTTTCGATCATACGGTATTTACTACATTTTCTGCCTCTTGTCCTGGCCGGTTAAAAGATGCCGAAATCGTATTTTTAATCATATCTCAATTTTTTCAAGTTGAGTTTGGTGACTCATTAGCATATTTAGAAAAATATTTTTTTACAAATAATTTGGTAACACACCCTTGGTATTTCGAGTCAAATTGTCGTTATGAACCACATGTTACAATTTCAAATAAACCATATGCGAAAATGTCAAAAGTTGACATATGATATGTCATTTTATTCAGAGTGTCATTTTCTATCGAATAAAGTAAAAAAAAATACCGAGGGTGGCATTTAAAAACCAAAAGTTGTAGTCATTTCCGGCAAAACCGGAAGCGACCGAAAACAATGTCAATCAATCCTAATTTATGTCATATACTAAAATACCAAATCTCGTTGTTTTATTTGACAAAATAAAAAAATTATAGGGGTGAGCCACTTTTGAGACGTACCCGTTAGGTAAATTGTGTGTAGTTAACTTATTTTGATTAAAAAATACGTAGGTAGTTGTTCTATGTTATTAAAGACCATTTTACGAAAAAAAAATCAGTCGTCGGTGGAGTTATAATCCTTGTTTTTTGAGAAAGTGAAATGTTAAAGCGCTTACCAAAAGTTAGGCACCCCAAATCTCACTCATCGGTTCTTAATACATTGTATATCTTAAAAATTTGGGTATTTTTTTAAAGTTTAATGCCCTCTAACGGTCAAACGAAGGACTTTTGTATAGAGGTAAATAATTATGTGAAATGAACTTATTTCACTCCAAAAAATACGTAGTAGTTCTACATATATTATACATATGTTATACACGGAATATCACGGCACCCTGTATAATATTAAAATCTGTAGCCATTTATATAAATTGACAGTGCAATAAACCAGATAAAAATGGATGGCAACCTACCTAATACAGTTGTCAGGGTCGTTTTTGCAATCCGTGTTACACCTGAACCGTTCCCACGCCAACCAGCCCATGGGCGGTGTCCTCGCCAACCCATTTTCGAGGCAGATCACCGCGCTAATGTGAACAACTGTAACCACACCGAGTATCGTCCTCCATGCTTTCACCATTTCACTTTATAATTTAACCTGTAACAGAAAATAACAGTGTATTAAGTATGTGTCAACATTTTTCAAAAATAACATTTCTGTCAACCGCGTTATACAGGGCGAGTCTTAAATAAGTGCAAATATTTTTAGGGGTGGTATATTTCGACCCCAGAAAAACGTCTATGAGTTTTTTCTCTTTTTTTACAAGAAAGAGAACTCAGAAAAGATCCAGCGGTTCTCAAAATGTAAGTGAAAAATCATTTTTTTTTGGAAATTTTCAAAGTAAAATATCTCGGTTATTTTGGACTTACTTGAAAAACGGTAAAGAGAAAATATGTTTCTTTTATCGAGATCTACTAGCCCTGAAAATATTTGCACTTATTTAAGGCTCGCCCTGTATTTGTGGCAAACCACGATAAAGTCGATTTCGACATACGATAATACGATATCCAAAAAATGACAGACATTTTATGAATACAATTTACCTGTGAATTAAGCTTCATTCAGAATCTAGTAATTATTGGAATAAGTAAGTGGTTCCAATTCGCGTAGAGAAGTTTGTTTCCCTAATTTCAATGTAAGCATTCAGAACGTCAAAATTAGTGGTAGTAATTTCCTATATACTCCAGGGTTGTCGCAACTAACGTCTCATCCCCACGCCTAACCGCCACCTGTTACGATCAAAAACATCTTCCTCTTCCAAGTTACGGCCCTCCATTGCCCTTCTGATGGCCTCATTCCAGGATCTTCTAGGCCGTCCTCTTTTCCTTTTTCCAGCTGTAGATACGGTAGGGCCATCTTTGGTGTTCCATGCGTAGCAAGTGTCCAAACCACTTAAGGCCCCTCTGTTCGACTCTATCCACTATTGTCTGTGTGGCATCCATTTTGGCTCTGATTTCCACGTTCCTAACTCTGTCCAGTTTAGATACTCTCGCACTGCGTCTCAAATAGTCCATTTCGAGTGCATTCAAAGCTCGCTTTTGTTCAGCTTTTAAGGACCAAACTCTTCCAATATGTACTTTTGTGTTTGGTCTCATGTTTTTGTCCCACCAGATGCCATTCAGTGTTCCTATAATCTTCCGCCCTTGTTCTATTCTAGCAGATACTTCTGTTTTGTCCAGTCCCTTTCTGGTTATACGTGCCACCAAATATTTAAACCATTCAACCTGTCTGAGCTTTGCATTGTCAGTAATAAAAATGTCAAATTTATCATCTGAATTCGTCACTAGGTATTCCATTTTATCAATGTTCACAGTAAGACCCCATTCCGTGTATGCCGAATTTAACCTGCTCATCATGAATTCAAGGTCGTAAGCATCTTGAGCTACGACCACCTGATCATCGGCAAAATTCAATGTAACCAAACAGTCATCTCCTACAGGGACGCCCATTCCCCCACACCTCTTCTTCCAGTCCCTAAGAACCACTTCCAAATACAGATTAAATAAAAGAGGCGTCAGAGGACATCCCTGTCGAAGGCCTTTAGTTGTAAAAATTACCTCAGACAGTTTGTTACCGCTCTTAACACGAGCTGTGTTGTTGTACAGCACCTTAATTAAATTTATGAGACATTCATCCACATCAAGTTGTTCCAGTATGTACCATAGTTTAACTCTGGGGATGGAGTCGTAAGCTTTTTGAAGGTCTACAAAAGCTAGATGTGTATCTTCTTCACGTGAATTCCGTTTTTCTATCAGTTGTTGGATAGTATCAGCAGTAATTTCCAATTAGTAGAAAAAGTTAACAAACTTTTAGGTTCAAAATTAGAGCCATTATGGTTATTCAAAATTAGAGCCAAATCAATGCCATTTTGGCCATTGAGTATCATTCCTGAAGATAAATTGGAGTTAGAAATGAAAAGTTTATTGTTTTATAAGTTAACATTAGGCTTTCTCTATTGATAAGTCAATTCAGAACGTCAAAATTAGTGGACATTTTCAATTAGTAGAAAAAGTTATCAAACTAATAAAGTTTCATTCAGAACCTCGAAATCAGTGGAATAAATTAGAGGTTTCAATTAGCCGTAGAAGTTTGTTCACCTAATTTTAATGTAAGCATTCAGAACGTCATAATTAGTGGTAGTAATTTTCAATTATTGGAAAAAGTTAACAAACTTTTGACTTTTCCACTAATTATACTTCAAAATTTACGAGGAATGTCATTTTGGCCTTTGATTATCACCCGTCAAGAAAAATGTTGGTTAGAAATCAAAAGTTTATTGTTTTTTTTAATTGTGATTTTTAGACACTGTGAACGATCGTAAACTAAAAAGTATAAAGTGTAATTGAAACCACTAATTTCGAGGTTCTGATTGAAGCTTTTTTTTCGGAGGAGGGAAAAATCTTAAGACACCGATAGTTGGTAGTGCCGGATTCCTACCGGCTAAAAAACCCTCCTCGTTCAAGTAAGCACACCACGCCGGAACCGCTTACGCATTACTTCTTTTTCGATAAATCGCGATAGTGTCACTGTTAATTTAAGTTCTGCCACAATTTCCATCTAGATTTACTACCTTTATACAACTATCAGTAGTAGAATAAATAATAAATAACATAAAATAAGCTCCGTAAAGAGTGACAAATCCACAAAATTTCAAATCAAATTCAAATGTGTCAAATGAATCGTCAAACAGAACTGTCAAGGATCCCCACCCTAGAGTGCTTTTTCCGCCCACCATGCATGAATACATGGATAGCATTATGCTCCTTCCTTAGTCTTCTTATTCAAAGGTTTTATAAGTTAAATATTAGGCATTCTCTAGGGATACAACTGACTAACGCAAGCTGTTGCTAGGCTATTCTATTAATTTTAATTGTGTTTTTTAAATATTGTGAATGATCGTAAACTAAAAAGTATAAAGTGTAATTGAAACCACTAATTTATTCCACTAATTGCGAGGTTCCGAATGAAGCTTTAAAATTATTCAAATTAGAGGATAGCTGAATACAAATAGTGTTAGTGAAAATAATAATGAAGCTCTATAGAGTTTATATCTAATATCAATATATCTCATTACCTCTCGTGACAAAATTACTATCTATACTCGTATGGGGTTCCAAAATTAAACATTATTAAAATAAATATAAGAATAGATATTATGCTTATGTAAAGGAAACTGCATAATAAAACGGTTAAGTGTTCGTTTAATGACCGATTTTTTAAATGACTATAGTAATAAAAATTAATGTGAAACAAATGAGTTTTAAATAATGGAAGAAAAGGAATAAATAATGATGAATCTACAAAAAAATACTTTCTCTTGTGACTTTAAGTATTGAAAGACAATAAAAAAAATAAGTGGCTAGATAAAGCAAAAATTCTTTTAGTACAGGAGCCCAAAATGCTAAATGGAATTTTTCTGTTCTGAAAATTAGATGCTAAAAATGCGCCTCTTATACGACGCGGAGGCTCCTAGGAGAACGGTAGTTAATATCTAAATCAAATTTTGGGAACATATTATGTAGGTTAATTGAGGGCATTTTATAAAAATATATAGAGCTTTACAGAGTGTTCAAAAAAAGTTATGCATCAAAGTTAGATATTTTGTAATGGAATACCCTATATATTAATTGATGTTTGAATTCTAGATAAAAAATCAAGGCGAATTTCATTAAAGAAGCATATGCCTAAAATGTAAGATATTTGAGATATTTCATATTTTGTGAAAATTAACAATAAATTTTCAATTTCAATAACAGCAACCTAAATAGTAATTTACCCTGTATAGCCGGCTATTTAGTTAAAATAACCCTTGTATGACAAACCAAATTAGAATTTTACCAGAAAAGTGATACAAGGTGACACAACATTAATATTGAACACACGCCGCTTTAAAAGCAATTTACTCCTTTATTTTAAATGGAACACCCAGTATATTTACTAAGTAAGGTTTACTACCCCTTAGGCAAAAATTTTCCTAGGTATTGTTACGGATTCCTTGGGTCCACTATTTAAACTCACGATAAAATACTTAACGAATTTATTTGTTTCACTCTGTACACACAACTTATACTATTTACAACACAACTTATGCAACTACTATTACTCTAACGGTATTTCGCGGTATTTTCAAACTTCAGACTTCAGACTATCTTCAGACTTCAAACTTTAAACTTGTCCAACTGTCAAAGCGCGGGCCTTATATACCCCCTGGCGGTTGTTTCTAGATTTTTCTAAAGAATTCTATAATTTTCTTTACTTTCTGGCGAATGCGCCAGGTTCCTCAATGCACGATTTTTTTTTGCAGTATGCAGTTATGCAACCAGTAATACACCTTGACATTGCCCCCTTCTCAAATTTGATCGTCCCGATCAAGGTTTCCTGTCTGGTATCTCTTCAATCGATCCAGATGAACTACTTTCATCTTACTTCTAGGGCTGCGTTGAATCCGATACACAACATCATTTATCCTCTTGATGACTGTATAAGGACCTTCCCATGCTGGATTAACTTTGGGGACCTTCCTTTCTTGCGCTGTGGGTTATACAACCATACCCTATCGTCCTGTTGAAATCCCGTAGAATTAGCTCTGAGGTCGTAATGAGCTTTCATCCGGTCACTGGCTAGCGCAATCTTACTTCTAACGGCCTTATGAATGTCCAATAATCTTTCCTTCCTAGCGATTCTTTCGAACGACAGTCCAACGCTATCCTGTTCCATTTCTTCCCCAGATCGAGTACTTGGTCTTTGTCTAGCTGCGCAAATCTTACAACGTTGACACCATTTCTTAACATCTTCGCAATAATCCACCCAGTAAAAACGGTCTCTCAGCTTACTCAAGGTCTTGTTTACTCCAAGATGGGCTCCAGTTTTACCACCGTGAATTTCTTCCAATACCTGGGTGACTTTCTTCCTTGGTACCAGTAACTGAGTTGTTACTGTCCTGCCATCCGCACTTTCCCACGTGCGCTTTATCAATCCATTCTCAATCACCAGTGAATTCCACTGAGCCCAGAGAGCTTTGAAAACGAGCCCTCTGTCCGCAATATCCTGCCACGGTGGTCTCTCGCCGTTACCTTCCTTGAGCCGTAGTATTGCTC